ACAGAGGCTGCTCTGCCCCGGGATTTGTTCAGCTCTGGGGATTTTAATCAGCCGTTGATGCATCTCGGGGTGTCAGAGTCCATGAGAGAGTGCGAGTACAGCCAGATCAGTACTCGCAGCTCGACACCGATGGAGACCCCGTACAAGAAAAGGACCCCAAAGAAGAGGAAGTGGGAGATCTTCCCGGGGCGGAATAAGTTTTACTGCGATGGCAGGGTTATGATGGCCAAGCAGACGGGGGTTTTCTACCTCACCCTTATCCTCATTCTAGTCACTTGTGGACTTTTCTTCACCTTTGAGTAAGTACTGAGCATGTGCGGTCTCCCATTTGCTCCCATCTGCTTTCTATTTGTGCAAAGCAACATTCAGGATTACATTTCATACGAGCAGGTGCCAGAGAAACGTCTAAGACACAATTCAGTTATGTCACCGGCATCGCTGTGGAGTGGGTGTATCAGGAAAATGTTACTATAAGCCGGTGGGAGAGGTGGAGGCCTCCATGTTTTTTTTGTTTTATATCTATTTATGTGGGAGGTGTGGGTTTCCTTGGTCTTCATCTGTTTACAGGTTATAGTTTACGTGGTTTGCGTGATGATTTCAGCCTAAAGGGGTGAAAGGCAGTGCTCGGTGTCGGTGTCACTATTGTCATGTAACCCCACAGCTTGAGTTCTTCAGGTCGTTGTGTGCAGGCATTCATTTAGCTGGAATGACCTGATCATCTCAGTTGCCTGATGAAATTCCAGGGATAAGTTACCCTTCACAAAGGGAATTGTGCAAAAAATCAGGTTCCTGCTGTTGCTAGTCTTCATTTTAAAATTCCATTATGTTTAACACTCCTGGAGCTGTCGTTGCAGTGTTTCAGGGTAAATATCTGGAGCTGTGGCTCTTTGATTATGGACACTCAGGAGGGGACCTCGGGGTAACAGGTTGAAGTCTCTAAATTGTCTGGACGTCCAGTCTGTCAGCAGATTTGGAGACCTGTAGAAACAGCACTTTTGCAGTTAGGGGACTGATGTCTGATTTATAGATATGTAAAACTCATAATATTCTTTAAACGGTTCAAATCAGGTGAATGTGTAGTCTGGCACCTTTCTGTCGTGAACTTTTTCTGCAGTTTGAGCTACAGCAGCTCATGTGGGCCCAGCCTTTGCTCCCCATGGCTGCCTGTGACTCTGTCGCTGGTTCACTACTGTTTCTTTCTTGCATCGCTTTTGATACATACTGCCCACTTCACACCCCACAAGAGCTGTGCTTCTGGAGAGGCTCTGACCCGTTTGTATAGGCATCACAGTTTGGCTCTTATCAGAGTTGCTCAGATCCTTAAGTTGCCCATTTTTCCTGCTTCTAACAGACCGTCTTTGTTCACTTGTTCTCTAATATATCCCACCCACTAACAGGTGCCACGATGATCGGTGTTATTCACTTCACGTGCCGCTGGTCATAGTAATGATTGGTGTATCATTTGTCATTTTTATACAGCAGCCAAAGATTGTTTTGGAAACAGAACAAGTGGTTATGATAACCAAAATGTTTAAAAACACGTATTTGATCAACTATCAAGGAACGACTCATTATTCAACTTTTGCAGCCGGCAACCTCACCTCATAGTTTAACTACAGGTGAAGGTTCTCAGTCTAACCGCTAATCGACCGCAGTGTCTGTCTCGAATTACAGCCCCACTCCTAAAATAAGTCCTCTCTTTTTACTGTTGGTATAAAACTTGTAATCAACCGTC